GACCTAATGAATAGTATATAAAACAAAAAAAAAGAACATTAATTAAAATTGGTCTAACTTGTAAAGTACATTTACACTCCATTTTTAAAACTTTTTAATAAAAGTACAGCTATTGAAAGGATTCTGATCTGCATATCCCTATTTTCCAGTTGTTCTATAACTCCCATTTTAAATCCATACAATTCAATCTATACTTTAGATTTCTCCTCTAAAGCAAATTATTAAAAAAAAAAAAAAAGCAGGGGAAATACTATGAATTTCCAGAGGGTACCAGACTTTTTGGGGTATATTCAAGTTGTGCTATATCAAAAACTTAATATATTAAAAGGATAATCAATGACTCTGGGATGTATATGTGTGATGTCCATACTCACATACACTTGTGCCACCAGGTATCTTCCAAGTCAGGACCACTTCTGTTATAGATTGTGACTTTTTTTTTTCTCCTAACAGAAATAATCTTCCCTCCATGCAGTAGAATAAATAACACAACTACTCAATTTGTAGTTTCCAAATTTCTTTCTTATTTAATACTTGAACAATTCTATGAAGGTTTGGTTTAGGGAGGCATTATTACTCAGCAATATTAAAAGACCTGTCCAATGTCACACAGCTAAATGGCAGAGTGTTGACCAAATGCAAGTTTTTTAAGTTGTTCTTCCAACATATCCCTCATGAATTAGATCATATGTTTAAAGCACCCTTGGAGTATGAGCTGATGTCCATGTTAACCTGGAAGAGAGCTATAAGTACTATAAAACTAACAAAAACTCAAAGAATTTTGTGTTTCTAGACCCAATTCATGTGCAAATATAGAGAGTAAACTAAAAGGCTTTTTTAGGATCCTTCGGACTTTTAAGATTCTGTTCTTCCATGACTCTACCAACTCAGGTATCTAACAAGGTATAAAATACTCTTCAAGGTCTCCTAATTTTCACTCCAGTTTGTGGTCAAAATGGAAATAGACTATTGTATCTCTAAAAATAAGGCAACTTTAATTATATATAACTAGAATAAAACAAAATAGAAAAAAATGTACTTTTTAAATGGTCTGTAACTTTCTAATAGTCACTAATTATTAAAACAATTTTTAAAATTACCAAAAT